AGGAAAACATTGAGCCTGGCAAACGGTCGACGATTGATCATACTATTATGTTGTTGTAGGTATCGGTTGGCGTTTTGCGATTAGTCTTCTGCCGCGGAAGTTGTGAAACTTTATTTCCGTTTCCCGGTCAACGCCGATTCCGTCGTGTCATCCGACCCACTCGTTTTTCTTCCCTAGGCAGAGTCAAGGTCTCCCAGCTTTGACCGTGTATATAAACATGTAATAATAGCTGGAAATCAATCACACCAAACGTCAGCCGCCGTTTCGTTGATTCCGAACCGATTCGGCTGAACCGTTTTCGTTAGCGGTATTATATTATTATGATGTCATCCGGATCACAGTCGGCAATTGCATAAGTAATTGTTATTAAAAACGGCTCGAGGTTATGCTGTATACATACAGTGCGCGCGCCTCCCCGGTGTGATGCTCTTATAATAATAAAATATGTATTTGTCTGTGTGCATACGAGTTTTGGCACAAAGTCCGTTAACCCGACACCGAAACGAGCGTAGGATCGGCTAGAAAAAGACAACTACGACGCGACGTTTAAAAAATAAAAAAATAAACAGTGCCCGCGGTCGACAGCGGACAGCGTTTGTGGGCGAAGGCGGTACGGATATGTTGTGGACAATAATAAGTCCGTTACAAACTAAATAAATACAAGATTATGCCTAACGGTTATAATTATTATTATTACCCACACGGACATTGGAAAAACGAACGGCGATTTATCAATCCTTGTTTGGGGACGCGACGCGACGCCATAATGATTGAGTGGGATTTTTTTAGGGGAGATAAAAATTACTACTACAGTCGCTTTTTTTTTTAATTTTCTCTCTATCCATCCCAAAGAATGCCGTTCTTCGGGGGTCGGCAAACCCTTGGTCGGCGTCCGTAACCCAACTCGACTGGTGTGTGTACGTTTATTCGAAAACAATCGTGCTTTCTTCTGGCCAGCGGGTAAAGACAATCGAACAATGCCAGGATATCGGCGGATATGTGTACACCGTGCGCAAGTATGTGTTCCGAAAAACGACCGTGTGTGCCGTATATTATATTATGTGCGCTTAAAAATAAAAATGCATTATGCATCCGACGACGACGACGACGAATCGTCCAGAGGAGACACACAGTACACACACACACACACACAAGCGATAGAGGTATAATATAATATGCGATTCCCTTGCAACGGGGTCGGCCCACCATATATAATATTATATACATACATATAGGCGCTCTGTTGTATATCTCAACTATAATATAATATCATACCGTATGCTGTAATTCGTCCCACACGTCCGAGGCGTCCTACACTCGAAGGTCTATAAATGGTAAACCCTCGTGGTGGTATCTATTGCGCGGCGGACGAGCTTATAATATTATATTATCCGCTATTATTATTATTATAGTATTTACCGAACCCGTTAATTCGCCATCCGCCCGTGTGTGTGTGTGTGGTAAATGTGTTGGAAGCAAAACGAATTTATGATGGCGAAAACAAAAAAACAATACATCCCAGTCAAACGGTCACGGTCGTCGATCGGACCGCGTTACCGTATTTCGTTTACCTTAACGCGACATTCAGGAACACACGCAAGAGCAGCAATGATAATGTTATTAAAAAGTGTACAACATCACATGGCGTTATTGACTTGGCAAGGTTTTCCTGGTGGTGTGAACTTAGCTCGCCGCAACAATGACTTAACCGCGGCAATCACAGCCTACCACTGCAGGTTTCACCATCACGTTATGTTATGTTATGTTTTCAACAAAAAAAAATTACCAAACCGTAGACCGCTTCACTCTCACGCCGGTCTCAGGTTTGTCCAAGGTTTCCGTTTTTTTGGACTATTACGGCCGCGTGGGAACTGTTTACTGGTATACCTATACACACGACGGCAGGGCGGATATCGGCTTACGGTAGCTGCATTATCGAATAGGGCCCAGTGTGCTAATATACATACATTACTACTGTGTAACTGTGCCATCGCCGCCGCCACCGCCGCTTGGGAACTTTCTTTGTGAACCGACCAACTCGATGGGGAAAGCGACCATCGCGCCTTGTATATACACGGCTGGCTATGAGCACTCTCGTGTATGGGGACCACCAAACGTACACACACACACAAAATAATATATAATTCAATGTAATCGTCACTCTTGTGTCAACCCGGCAATACCGTACGGCTCTATTGTTTCGTCGATTGTGGTGTGAACCGCGGGCTGATTTTTACAGACTGTCACGCGTGCGCTCGCTTGCGGAGAAATACAAACTTGTAATTTGCGCGCTATTATTATTGTTATTGTAATCGTACAATTTAATAAAAAGAGATGGGAACGGTCCGTTTTTCCAGTAGGTATATCGATTCGGTAATCGTCATAATATAGGTAGGTAGGTACACCGAAAATGGGTAACGGCGTTTCGAAAGCGGTACGCGAAAGCGCTGGAAAATTATATTATTAAAAAAAATTACAACGGTCGGCGAATTCGGTCAAACCGGACCGCGGTACAATTACCGATAAAACACAAATTGTGTATTTTTATTTGTATTTTATTTCCCTCATCTACACAACCGAAAGAAAGTCTCCTCGATGTACCTACGCGCGCTAACCGTTTGGGCTCCACATTGCATGCCTTATATTATTATTTATGTACAGCAAAAAAATAAAAATGGTTCACACGAGTTACACGGTCGCCCGGCCCACGGCGTCCGATATGTGTAATTTTTACACTTAATATTAATTCTGCAAACGCAATAATAATAATAATAATACATTCATAACAACGTCATGATGATATGTGTGTACCGTTTGAAAGTCGGCGGGGCCGTTAGGAATTTGTCATTCTGCCGGCGGTGGATAATGTATTTTTTTATTATTTTATTATCATTATTATTTTTTTCTCTACAAATTCAATTGTTATGCGTTGGGAGCCGTTTGGTATTACTGCGCGGACGACGGGCATACAAATCGCCAGAATTCATACATATACGGTGGCCGCCGGGTTGGCGGTTGATATATTATACCTATGCATATTTACACGGACTGAATAAATACACACAAACCAGCCCAAGTATAAGTATTGTGGTAGCGGTGAACCATACCTTTATAGCCTGGCGGGTATATTGTCATGCGAGCGTTTCCAGTCTAGACGCACTCGACGAAAAACCACAAACTATAAAAAAAAATCGTTATTGATATTGACCCAATAAAAATATCAGTATAATGTAAAAGAAATACCTACTGTTAGTAAGGTACAAACTAACAAACTATTTATACTTACATTTTTGTATAAAAAAACCTTTAACGCCTTAACAAACATTTTTAACATTTTATGATAATATAAATATTTCACTTGTAAGACTTAACCAAAACTTAAACGAATGTGATCCACAGTCAGCGGGGAGTGTTTACCAGCTGTTATCGACCTGAAAGACTTGTAACACAAAATTGTTTTTTATTTTTTTAAGATAATGGGTTGATAATAACAATATGAACGTACACAGCTTGAATGGCTTGATGAGGGAGTGATCTGTTGGCCACACCTCTAGAATACAAAATTAAAAATTATTATGTAATTTTTTTTTATGTATCTATACGACAGAAAATTTTAACTAAATTTAAAGTTTTATTTAAAAATTCCCCTTACTACAATATTCTTAATAAATAAACGGTGTGGCGTCTCCTTGCGTCACTCGCGTCCATTACTGTAACATAATAATACTATTATATATTGTGACATTTAATTTAACGCGGCGGCGTGTAAGGCGATGCGTGCGTGTAGGAGCGACCTTTAGGTTAACAAAGCGGTTGCCATTTGGGAAGATGGCGGCGGTGGTAATTGTAATTGCTATTGGATCCAGGGGAAACTTTTTGGACGAAAAATACAATCCGACACGAACAGAGGCTTTGGCCGACGGCGAGAGACAGATGGGCGTTAGCGCGTTCAACGATTCGAAACAATTAAACGCGTTTGGCATTTTTCTTTCACACTTTCGCTGCCACGGCCATAATCACACACACAAACCTACATTAATATAACAATAATTGTATTTTCTTTCCATCAGCGGTCGGTCTGGAGAATGTGCGAGGGGGAGCCGATGTCGTGCGGTAATTTTATTATGCTATGACCTTTTCGTCGGGTGTGCCCAGGTACTACATTTGGTCGTCGTCGCACGTCTGGAATACACACACACACACACGTTGTATTCATGTAAATCTGCCCGAGTCACCCGTGTAATTATTTATTTTTTTTGAACAACGGTTTATCTGTGCGCCGGCATAATGGTCCTTGAACTGTTTTTTTTTTTTTTACCAAAGTTGTATAATTTTAGTATTACGCGAGGTGACGATTAAAACCGAAACAACCGAATCAGAATATTATTCCCATGGTATAATAATTATTATTGTAATTCGACAAAATAAAAAAATTATATATTATGTATACGATTGCGGAACATCGGTGACGGATGCCAAGTCACATGCGATAAAAAATCGTTTCACACGGATGGGATACCTTGACAAACATATTATTTGCAAAATCTTAATATTCTTATAAGTCAATTTTATGCATGTGATGTAACGTTTTTAATGTATGAATGTAATGTAACACAGCTTGTGCTGAAAGTTCGGATATCGTGGCAAGTGGACATAGTTGATAATCAGCACTAGACTGAATTCGTTGACTAGCGAACCGAGTTGATTCCTGGATAGGATATTATGGGTATACCTACTCTACCTGATAACTATATCAACCCGTCTTTTCGCATAAACGTTAATTTCCCAAGTCCCACAAAAATGGCGGGGGTCGCTGTTGACTCGCAACTGACAGTTATTATAGAGATCTACAATAATTATTACTTATGTCTGTTAAATTACAATAACTGTGCCGCAAACGGTTCCATCGTTGTTAGACATACTGGCGTTGTATCGCAGCTACTATTAGCATAGCGAATGACTATATGGTATTAATAGTATGTTTTCTCTATTGTTTACAGCTGTCCGTCATTATCAGTGGCCAACGACATGATATCTAGGCGGCGCATACTGTCCAGATCCCGGGACGACCTGAACTTGGAATCGGCAGTCGGATTTGCCGTACAGGCGGAGGAAGAAGAAGACGTTTGGTACAACAAGGACAAGCTGTACAAGGTACGTGCCTTAATCTGTGTATGATAACGTCAAAAGTTCTTTCCCATATTATAATATTTTGTAAATGAAATTCGGACGGCTGAACATTTTGAAATGCCCCATGCCTGCGACCTTGCCCGAAAAACGTTTCGCTTTTTAAAAACGAATCAACTCGTTCATTATTTTCCCATACGGGCCGCCGCTCGTTATGCCTACCTATAATATACCTTTCACTTTTTTTGCCGGCCGCGGAGCCCGGCCGAAGACAGTGTACTTATACTTGCTTTGTAATAATAATCGCGCGTACGTTACACTGTATTATAAAAATACAAATGTGTTTTTCATCCTTTTGCCCGAACACGAGCGGATTCGTTCCGCAAGTATAACATTAGGTAAGTGCGCGTGTAGGAGTATCGGACGACCTTGCCGGGGGCTGTTGATCATCGCCGCCGCCCCGATAAGCACCGGACTATTACTCATCAATTTGTGAAAACAAAAATAAAACCGACGGGCCCATTAATACTTATACCCGCAAAAGCGAGCACAACATTTTAGTTTTCGCCGGTTTTCCTACTCGCACACCACGTCAGCCGATTGTGGTTTATTATAACGGCGATGCACCTCGAGGCCGCCAATGCAACGTCAGCGTTAAGCGGGCCACGACGGGTTACGGGGTCGTCACATTATTCTTTTGTTTCGACAGCTGTTAAATAATTACTACTAGTGCTGTCGTCTGGGAAGAGCTGTTATTCGCTAAACGCCTAGAGAAATCGATTTAAGCGTTGCCGCACCGCACGCGTCTATTATTATAATGTATATTACCTCTTTGAATGTATCTTCTTCCACTTCACCTACTCATCATCAACAAATTACACTCCAGTTTATCTGTACTTGGACTGGGTGACTCTCACGGGGATCATATTATTATCATAAAACAAAGACGGAATATTATATTGTATCGTCGACAAACGCGTTACACCGTAAACTCCTTCCGGTTTTTTTTCTTGTGTATCTTATATCGTATATTCTAGAGGCATCTGCTCGTTATGGTGAAATAAATTGGCCGGCGGCTTTGATTTTTAGCAAGCCTTAATACATTACGTGGAAACGTGGGATTTGAAACGCTATGCGCGCCCGCAAAAGTTATTGGCGAGTCATACTGATGCTGTGTATTGTAGTATATATTTTAATTAAAGAAACGGCCAATGCTTGTACGTTATATAGGTTCGACTGGTAGCAGCGTAGCCCGTGTTCGTCATTAATCCTTATCGTCGATAATATACCAGCTGCGTTGTGTGTATACCCGTCAAGTGTGCGAGCCCCATTAACGCCGGCGGGTCTCTGCTTTCGCTTTAAATTAACACAACGTTGCGCGTTAATCTCTGCGTGTATAATATGTAGGTCGAGAGCTAATTTAAAAGTTCAACCGAGTCGTTTTCATCTGGACCGTGAACCATAATATAATATGACGTTATTTCGTTATAATGTGATCAGGTATGATATAGGCAAAAGCTGTTTATAGTGCCCCCCAAATCGTTTCAGAGCTCCAAGTTCAAAAACTATTATTTACTATTACATAAAATCGATTAACCGTTTCTTTATTTTACATTACACAGTTCCTTCATGTACGCAGTAATAGCAGCTGTAGACAACAATAGAGAGACTTGAACGCCTGGCGACAATCGTTTTTCGACAGCTGCGACAGTACAATAATTATTGTTGTGTGCTAGGCGATTGGCCAACTGTTTTGTGTGTAAATTCGACTGGCGATCGGTCAATACTTTTGAGTAGTCGTCGGTGATATATTATTATATCGTATTATTGTTGTGAACAGGTAACGATGATTTCATCGACAATACACTCTCATAAAGTTATGTGCAACATGGAAAATAATCGAAAAACTAATTATAAAAATGATATTACAACCGAATGACACGGTAACAATATAATCGTGTAGAACTATATCGGTTGTTGTCCATTATTTTTGAAACAAGTCGTTGTTTCAGTCATAATAATATTATATTATATTTTGGCCGAGACCTTTCTCGCGCAGCTGTTCACAAAACGCCAATGTCCTACCACGCAAATGTTTTTTTTTTTTCGTTTTGTTTTGCATAATATCAAATTTTCCGCGTACATCCATCTAATCAACGGTCGATTAATTTTGTTTTTAGAACGCCCATTATGTTGCATGACCCGCGGGCGTCTCGCTTTCGACCGCCTCGTGCATGTAATATTAATAATAATAATATTATTATTATATTATATTATGCATAATAATAATAATTCATACCTGCTGTAGTGCCCGTAAATTGCTTTTTGTGTGTGTATGATGATTGTGTCGAACGAAAATTGCACAATAAACAACGCTCGATACACTTATTAGGCGTTCACATAATAAATAACAATAACAACAATACTAATATTATCATATTAGTGTATTAAAACGACGACGGTTATTATAATAATGTAAATATTAACATGTCCCAACACCTGTCGTGGGAGTGTCTCGTTAGCGCGGATACCGCTCATATCGCACTACGACCGGTCATATATTATTTAAGTACCTATACTCATGAAAGGCATTTGCAACGATACATGTTATTATATTTTACCCGGAAATCATTTCATTATGAATTCGCTTGAATTTTTTCAGTAAACCCCCGCCGTTGCAAAATAATAATATATAATAAATCGATCGAGAACCTAAGTACAACACCTGCGTTCGTCCGTCATATTATTGACAGTTTTTTCTCTCATTAAATCCGCATTCTTTATGTTAATATTACTGTGGCGCATGATGTTGACCGAGGACATACGAAAGGAGAGCTGTTATACTTGTTAACAATGTATGTAAAAAGTAAAAATAAAATGCCCGTATAACAGTACTTAGGACTCCATTAACATAATATAATGTTATAAAGTCTCAGTCGGCACACCTGCGTCCTGCTGAAAGGTCAAAAACACGGTCTTTACAAACGGGTTAGTGTCTAGTCTTCTAGTATAAGTCTACAGTTAACTTGGCCACGCCTGTATGTAAATCTGTGTGCCATGTCTTGCGCGTTCAACTTCAAAAATTAGTCAAACCAACTCTTTTTCTTGCAAATGCTGGCTTGTTTTCTATTATTACCCTTAATTGTTTCGTTCTTTATTTATTTTTCTACTTATCCTGTTTTTAACTACTTCAATGTTGTAATATTTATATTTTGTTATGCTGATGACGGGATAGGTCCCAATAGCCAAAAGAGTTTAAAAACAAATTGACTTTACTCTTCACTCGTTCTTTGTACTTGCTCTTCTTCCAAATGAAAGTGACCACTACCGTTTGTAATTATAAACTCTTATCGAAAAATATGATGCATTTTTTTTTAATAGTTTCTCCCTCTCCTCTTGAATTACTTTTTGCACGTTTCCTTTGCACGGATGCTTAGGTAAACACACACGACGTGATCCGCACCGGAGGGGCTTTCGTTTAATTTCAACTCGGTGTAGGTATAGATGTACTTGTATAATATGATTAACAAAAAGCGATATTATATTACGGATCCTATATAGTCGCCGATGCGGTCGTGGGCGGCCATTTCGTTCCGGCGGCGCCACCGCGCTTGTAAAGGTAAATCAGCCTGGCGACAACAAACTGCAAAATAGATAAGAAGCAATTATCGTGTGTAGGCGGCGCGGGCGAGGAGACGACAGTGCTGCAGGCAACGCGGTGTACATTATGTGAATACAGCTGTTAAGGCATGTGTGTGTGTATAAGAAAATACATACACATCTTTCGCCATGGTCGTTTCCCCGTTGTTCCGGTCCGGAAGGACGAGCCGGGAACTGCACGGATTCCGGACGACCTTGGCGGGACTTGGAAACGCGGTGCGGTGCGGGTGAAAGTACTTTCACCGCACCGACGTTACGCCGATCCGCACAATTAACCGCCATGCTCTCTAGAACCGCTGCAGCCCCATGTAATATATTTCATTAATATATATAATTTACACTATAACAGCCGCGCGTAGTATATCATTATATGCACACCGTCAGTATCGTCGATGATCTTTGCGGTTAAATCGAATAACAATAATAATTATTATTATATTTTAATATGTACCTGCACTACCGTCGGCGGACACCTTCTGCAGTTTGGTATTTCGGTATACGAACGAAAAGTTCTCCGCTATATATTACCGTACCCACGACGTTTGTGTTCAGAGTATACCCCCGATACACCTATATAATAATATGGTTTTACTATATTATAAACGACCGGCGGTTTATGTGGAGCGAGGTCTCGTCCGGCACGACGACAATCCACCGCCGCCGCCGCCATTCGCGATTGTTTCCATCTCTTTTGTACAATGTCGACATTATAATAATACATAATAATAATAATGTGTATATAAATCCTTCGGGTCGCACGTTTAATCTGTATGTGTGCATTCATATTTGCTCGTACATCGTGTATTATAGGCCTATTATATGTACCTATTGCTATTTGCGTGCACTTGCATTTGTATATTATGTACGTTTGGCTTTGGCACGTGCGCGGTTCGGTGGCGCATATTATTTGCTATTGTACCTATACACAGCGGTGTATAGGTATAGTTTCGCATTAAGACACTGACTGCGGAAGAACCGATAAAATAACAGTCCATTTCTTGAGACTTGATAATGACAAATCTCTGACTATAATAATTATAATACATTATTGACTAAATCAGCAGTTAGAAAAATTGTGTGGCTTAAACAGATGTTAACGCGTTTACTGAGCATAAGCCGAAGAAACAGAGAACTGTTTTCCTCCGTCGAGGGTCACAAGTCGGACGATCCGCATTAAATTACAAAAATTAAAAATCATGAATCGGTCCTCCGTTACGGTGTCCGGGCTTGTTGCGAAACGCGCTTTACAATGTCAGGGAAGTCGGTGGAAACGGCCCCAGTTTTCGCATTAGAATAACAATAACAAAATATTTATTATTATTGTAGTGGTTTATTATTTCGTTATCGCCGGAGTGGATTTTTTTATT